GTAGCCGATGCCCTGAGTCGCAAGGCGGAGAGTGCCCCGATTCGGGACATATGCATGAGGATGACAGTGATGACTCCGGTATTGGATGTCATTCGAGAGGCCCAGGCGGAGGCCGTGAGACCGAAGAACCGCAAGAGGGAGCGGGTGATTAGGCAAGTATCCGAGTTTGTGACGGATAGCCGAGGACTTATGACCTTTCGAGGTCGGATTTGGGTACCTTATACGGGCGGAGCTCGTAGCACCCTGATGGAGGAAGCGCATATGTCACGATTTTCGATCCATCCCGGGGCCACTAAGATGTATTTAGACCTGAAAAGAGATTATCGGTGGCCTTGCATGAAGAGGGATGTTGGATGGGTAGTTGAGAGGTGCTTGACTTGTCGTTGGGTCAAGGCAGAGCACCAACGTCCACACGGTCCATTGCAGCCTTTGGAGATTCCCCAGTGGAAGTGGGAACAGATCTCTATGGATTTCATCACCAAGTTACCGAGGACGGCGCACAGAGTTGACGCGATTTGGGTGATTGTGGATCGACTGACCAAGAGTGCTCATTTTCTTGCCATTAGTGAGAGCTCTTCAGCCGAAAAGTTGGCTGAGATTTATGTGAAGGAAGTGGTATCTCGGCATGGAGTGCCGGTCTCGATTGTGTCAGATCGAGACGTGCGTTTTACTTCCAGATTTTGGAAGAAATTTTACGAGGAGTTGGGCACGCGTTTGCATTTCAGTACTGCATACCACCCGCAGACAGATGGACAGAGTGAGCGGACAATCCAGACGCTCGAGGATATTTTGCGCGCTTGTGTCATGGACTTCGGAGGAAGTTGGGACACTTTTTTACCTCTGGCTGAGTTTTCGTACAACAACAGCCATCACTCGAGCATTAGTATGCCTCCCTTTGTGCTCCTGTATGGGAGGAGGTGTCGTACTCCCATCTGTTGGGGAGAGGTGGGACAGAGAGTTATGGGCAGCACTGAGATAGTGCTTAAGACGACCGAGAAGATTCAGCAGGTCAGACAAAGGTTACTGACGGCGCAGAGTCGTCAGAAGAGTTACGCGGATAGACGACGATCTGAGCTCGAGTTTCAGGTCGGAGATTTTGTGCTCCTGAAAGTTTCGCCATTGAAAGGAGTGATCCGGTTCAGGAAGCGGGGCAAGTTGGGGCCTCGATATATCGGTCCGTTCAGAGTGACCGCTAGAGTGGGTAAGGTAGCATACCAGCTAGAGCTACCTGAGGAGTTGAGCCAGATCCATAGCACCTTACACGTGTCCCAGTTGCGGAAGTATGTGGCTGATGAGACGGCAGTGGTACCATTAGAGGACATTCAGGTGGATGCGAGCCTGAACTACATCGAGAGGCTCACGATCTTGGATCGAAAGGAAAAAGTTCTGAGGAACAAGGAAGTGCCCCTGGTTCAGGTCCAGTGGCAGCATCGGAGAGGGTTCGATTTGACTTGGGAGCCGGAGTCAGAGATGCGGGAGCAGCATCCAGAGTTGTTTGTGGAGCATGACTTCGAGGGCGAAGTCTGATTCTAGTGGGGGAGAATTGTAACATCCGGATTCCCAGGTATATTATTTTAAGTATTTATTTTTGAGGATCATTGACCTACTCGACGAGTTGGTGTTATAACTCGCCGAGTAGAGACGGTATAGACACGCGGATTTAATGATCTACTCGACGAGTCCGGGAGTAGACTCGCCGAGTAGGCGCTGGAAGTGAAAACCCTAGATCCCCGGGTTTGAGACCTATTTAAAGGCACTTATAGCCTCCTTTGCGGCCACCTTCCCCAGAGAGAAACCCTAATCTACCCTTTTCGTGCATAGAGAGAGAGAGAGGCCATCTTGAGCATCCTTGAGCTTTTTGGAGGAAAGATTGAAAGAATTGGTGAATCTAATCAAGAGGAGGCTGTGGATCTTGCATTCTTCTGTCATTTGCTGCTATTCAGAGGTATAAAGCACTCATCTTGACCTCTTGTTTGTTAGATCCCATTTTTGGGAGCTTTTAGGGTTTTCTTTCAAGCATCTTGTGTCCTTGAATTATTTGAGCATGGTTTGAGGTTAGGACCTCAGATCTGGACTATAGGAGGCCTTGAGAGCCCAAAGAGTCAAGCTTTATTGAGCTAGAGGCAAGCTCATGTGCTTTCAACGTTCTTTGGAGCTTGTAATGGCATATTGGAGCAAATATGCCATGCATGAACCTAAAGATAGAAGCTTTACGTGAAATTCGAGCCTAGGGAGCCTACATCTAGAGTTTGGAGTGATAGATCTTCCCTAAAACGTCTGAATGGGAATATAGACTGGATGCACTCGCCGAGTCCAGGAGCTGACTCGACGAGTCGCTTGGGGTTTGTCCCGATAAGTCTGTGCACGCTGTGACTCGACGAGTAGGCGGGCCTACTCGACGTGTAGAGTTGGTCTTCATGAGGTCCCTGAGGGAACCAGGGAACTCGACGAGTCTTCCCGGTGCACTCGACGAGTTGAGTCAACATGGACTATTCACTCAAGTCTGACTTTTGTTGACTTTTGAAGCTTAGACCAAATATGAGCAATGGGGACCATGGAGGGGTAGAAGGGTCTTTTGCCCTTACCAAGAGTTAGAGAGGAGTTAGAATGAGTTTATTAGTATTATGGTCTAATTAGAGATAATCATCGCATGTATTAGGCGGAGGCTAGATCGGTGATTCGTGTACGAGGTGTATTAGCTTGCTCACTTCAAAGTGAGTCTTCTCACTATACTTTACCTGGAATGGTAACTATGTGTGACCGGAAGGTCTTATGTATTTGTATGAATTATGTGACTTATTTGATATGTTTATTGTGATATGTATATGCTGTATGAATTGGGCCGGAAGGCAAACAGAGTTGGGGCCGGAAGGCAAGTCATGGCAGGGCCGGAAGGTCTACCAGAGCTGTGGGACCGGAAGGTCCACTGAGACACATTGACCGGAAGGTCATACAGTGCTATAGCCTCGAGAGGCTAATATGTGTATGTGGTATTTTGGGGAACTCACTAAGCATTTTATGCTTACCGTGTTACGTGTTATGTGTTTCAGGTACTTCAGAGGATCGCGGGAAGGCACCGGCATGATTGTACACCTGCAGCGAGATGGAGTTATGATCCTGGATTTGAATAATTGTTTTGGAAACTTATGATTTGACTTTTGAGAATTAATAATATGACATGTGTTTTTATGAATTTAAAATTGAAAATTTTGGTTGAAAAATCATGTTGTTACACAGGGCCTTCAAAATCAACGGATCGACCCTGATTAAACATAATCTGACTTTGTTGTTCAAATATGCATAACTCACTCAATTTAACTTGTTTTGACGTGAATCTTTTTCCTACATGTAGATTAGGTTTTGTAGTTAAGTTTAGACTATAAAAACGCTTGATTTGGTTAAAAATTGAATGAGTTTCAAGCCCCGCAAAGAAGGGTGTCAAATCAGATTTTTTTTTATGTTACAACAATTAAACGTAATCTGACTTTGTTGTTTAAATGTGCATAACTCACTCAATTTAAGTTTTTTTTGACCTGAATCTTTTTCCTACACGTAGTTTAGGTTTTGTAGTTAAGTTTAGACTATAAAAACGTTTGATTTGGTTAAAAATTGAATGAGTTACAAGCCCCGCAAAGAAGTGTGTCAAATCAGACCGGTTCCAAAATCGAAAACCCGACAAAAACCGGAACCGGTAGAACCGCCGGACCGGTTCGATTCTTGATTTTGGCCGAAGCCGGTTCCCGGATCGGGCCGGTTCGGTTCGGTTGCTCATGCCTACGTGCAATGCACCTTTTTATTCCCGAACGACTTTTTAGTATACCAAAATCCCGTTCCACGTCATTTCTTGCTGCTTTTTGTTCCACCTTTAACCGTTGCGTAAAAGTTGCTCAATTTTGGTATATCTCATCTTACAGATAGTACTCATGCGTTTATTCTTCTCCGTTTAAATTAAATGAACATTTTGGTATTTCCAAAGCAGTTTCTCGTTGCATAGTGGAGATTGGTAGTTGACGATTAGATCGTTGTTGCCACCGACGCCAAAATATGCATGACATATCAATAGATATTACGACGCTACAACTTCAAGTATCATCGTTGGGTTGGGTGCTGTGATCACCTCTCGTGAACAACTCTTCCGTTGTCGTTATTCGTGAAAACTTAAGAACGTTTTACGCCAACATTTTTCATTCAAAACATCACCAAAAGCATCACTTAGGCCAATTGCAACATACAAAATGCCAAAACAATTTATACAAAAAAAAATTGTTCGCACATTTGAATGTGCTATGTATACATTAAAAAAATGCATGTATGCACATCATATACACATGCATATTTTCACTCTTTTTTGCAACTTTATGGTTGTGGTTGGCGTAAACAAGTTGGGTAGAGGATTGTGATGGTGTTTTTAATGAAAAATGTAGGCTGAAAAAAAAATCTCACGTTTTCAAGTATCTATGACTTCATGCTTCAAGTGATGTGTTGGTGCCTGACGAGAGTGATGTGTTTAAGAACATGAGCATCAACCATTTACATCTTTGTTTAGTCAATCCACTGAAAGATCAAAGTTTGCAATCAAGACCATAGAGGCAACCAGGTTATATTTCTTGAATAACCTTTTTGAAGCTTTTGGTTTGATTTTCTCACACATGAATTCCTCAATTTGATAATAATTTAAAACTAGATCGAGCTTAAAGATTGTGCCCTCTTGTTTGTGATATTATCTTTGTTGCTTTTCAACAACTGATTAGACTATTTATTACTTTCTTCATGAATTTCAACCCTTTATACAAATATTATTGATTACAACTACTGAATTTTCAATTAAGCAACATGAATGTATCTTGAATTACATCCAGCGTTTCTATTTCAGTGCTGCAATTACTGTTAGTAGTTACAAACTTACCATCATTCTTGCAAAATTACTAAAAAAAAACATGCATATTGCACAATCTATGATTTTTAATTGTTATTCTCTAAATGGGTAACCAAGTTTTCCCTCAGTTTTCTCCCAAGAGGATCAACCTGCTTACACCACTGTTCAACATACCCTGAATCATGATGACATGACAAAGAAACATCTGGTTCTATAAAATCACCACAATCTATAATTATATTATGAAGCAAACAACATACCACAATGATGCTTGGAAGCTTCTTCTTATCAGGTCTCCACATAACCTTATTAAGTATCCTCCAACTTCCCTTTAATTGCGAAAACGCCCTCACAGCAACCAATCTTGCACCTTCATGCACAGTATTAAAACCAGACATCTCATCACTTTCACTTTCACTTTCACTTTCATTATAAGGTGTTATCAGCCATGGAAGAAGAGGATAATTAGCTCCACCCACTATGAATTCTCTAAACTCTGATTTTAAATTCCCATTTAAACGCTCACCCGCTTCACAAAGTTTATAAAATCCAGAAAATTTTAACAGTTTTGGGATTGTCATGCCACCTGGCCAACCTGTAACAATATCAAGAAATCTTGATTTGTCATCAACGATACCTTGGACTAACATACTGTAGTTTTTAACCTGATCACACCAATCATCTGAAGTTTGAACAGCTGGAAGGGTCATAACTATGTGAGTTGCATCAATGGCTCCACAACAATTGGGTAATTTGAAAGATCTCTCGAATTCTGATTTGATTTTCTGTAATTTTTCATTGTCTGGCCATTTGAGATGGTGTCTGGCACGTTCTTCCATGGCTTCTATGAATCTCCATGTGACTTGAGAAACCGTTGATTGTCCAACATTGAACGATGCTCCCACTGAAACTTGAGATTCACCAGATGCTAATCTTCTTAAAGCGATTGCAACTTGTTTTTCGACACTGAGAAGTCTTCCTTCGATGTTGATGAGTCCTGAAGGAGGTCGTGAAATGAGATCTTCTCGTACAAGTGAACATATGTACTCGAATGTCTTTTTTGATAGTCGGAAAAAGTACTTGAATCCTTCTTCTTCATCTTGGGGATCCATTGAACCTGCAAGTATCAGTTGGAAATAAATTTTGATGTTCGATATTCCAATTGCATAAACCGATTAGAAGCTAAAAGAGAAAATTATAAGAAGAATAAGCTCGTTAAACTTGTACATAAGGAGATAATAAAGTCCAATTTCAGAAGTGGAGCAAAACGAACCCTAATTTTGAAGATGTGAACTAATTGAAGAATTACAAGCTCAATTGGCATGCCGACACACTTTTAGAACTGTTAAAAACTGATTTCACAGTTGCAAATACAAATCATGAGTTAAATCCTTAAAATGCCATGTAAACGAAGCGAAGAAATACCAGAAATGGGGGAATTTTTTTCCCAGAAAGAATTCCACCAATCTGAATCGACGCCTCTGTTCTCGCTACCACCAACTGCCGCAACTGTGCTTGAACTGGAAGGTACTTTTTTCTTCTTCAGCTTCATCTTCGAATCCTTTTTCATTTTGATCTTCTTCGCAGCAAATTCATGCTTCTCCTTCTTTGGGGCCATTTTAGGGGTCGGACTCCTGCTATCCGGTTTATATATATATATATAATATATATATATATATATATATATATATATATATATATATATATATATATATATATATATATATATATATATATAAAGAGGCTAATGCCATAAAAACCCTCAAATTTTTAAGAAATGTTGGGTTATATCCTAAGTTTATTTTTATGTCCACAAAAACAACATATTTAAGCAAAAATTGTCATAATTGCCCTCTTTTCCGATTTTACCCTTCTATGGCATAAGGGGGTGTTTGGTTACAGATCGACACATGTTAATGTTAAGGGATGTTTGGCATTAGGGGATGTTTGGGAAAGCACCTCCAGTGCTCGTCTGCTTTGAAGAAATCATCGGAGAACAATCAAGTTTGCTACCATTGGCCAATTCTGTAGCTCTTATTCTCTCTGCTCAATCCTCATATTTTGTTGGTGGGCTTGATTGGGGTTTGATGGCCATATGCAAATCTAATTTCATTTGATTATTAAAGTTTCAGATGTGGGTTTTTTTCCTGGATTTGTGTTGAAGCTGTATTTGGTTTTAGATATGAGGAAAACCAAAATCGAAATTAAACAAAGGGCATGAGGAATCCTCTTTTCTTTGGTAAAGATGATGATTTCAGATGGTGACCAGATAGATGAGAAGATTTGATGAACTTTAAAACGCCACGGTTGTTCTTGCGCAGATGTTGACAGAAAAACATAACAGAGGACATGATGGTGGCGTGATAACTAACGACGAAGATGCCCTAATCTCGTCGCCCCTGTTCCATTTCCTTGTATCCACGACTTGTTTGTAATTTCCTTGGGCTAACCGGAAATGCACACAATCATCGGATTTTAGTGTTTTTTTTTTACTTTTATGTTTTTGGTTTTAAGGTTTGATTTCAAATGAGCTTTTGATGTTTGATTTCATGTGATTTCAGGTTGAATATAATTTTAAGGTTAAATTTCAGATTTGAATATGAGTTTGAGGTGTAGTGGTTGACGATGGTTCTTTTAGCAGGAAGGAGGAGGATGTGATCGTTAGGAGCACGGTTCTTCTTCTTCTTCGAAGTAGGCGAGCACCGAAGGTGCTTTCCCGATCCACCCTGTCGTTGCTTCCTTTTCCCCTCGATTGGTGGTTGCCGACGGCGAGAGATGGACCGCGAAGGGTCACCGAAAGTTGCAGGTCGCCGGAACATCCCTTAATGCCAAACATCCTCTAACATGTGTTGATCTGTAACTAAACACCCCCTAATGCCATAGAAGGCTAAAATCGGAAAATAGGGCAATTATGACAATTTTTGCCCAAATGTACGGTTTTTATGGACATAAAAATGGAATTAGGATATAACCGAACATTTCTTGAAAATTTGAGGGTTTTTATGGCATCTTATATACCATATTTACTTAGTTGGACCAATATAATAAATATAAAAGAAATTAAATATTATCTTCCTACCAATCTCCTATCTATTTAAATGATGACATATGTCACATTAGTATACTAAAATATCATTAAATTTCATTAAATGAGCATTGAATGTTATACATGTTACCATCTAATTAGGTAGAATGATTTTTAGGAACAAAAAGTAGGAGAATATTTAATGTAAATAATAAATAATAATAATACTAGTATAAATCATGTAACGCCCCATTTTCTGGTATGTGATTTAAATAAGTAGTTTTGATTTCCTTAAGAGGTACTCGACGAGTCAGTAGCCCGACTCGTCGAGTGGAGTCGGGAGTTGCATGCGATTTAAGTTGGCGACTCGACGAGTCCATATTCCGGACTCGGCGAGTCTGCCAGTCTGGATGAAACCCTAATTTCAAGGGTTTGCACCCTATTTAAACATCATTATGCGCCTCAAACCAGCCTCCATCACCCTCAGAACGTCCCTTACTAAACCCTAGCCTCCCTTTAAGCATTCTTGGAATATTTCTCATTTTGTGGAGGATTTTGGTGCATTTTGAAGTTAGAAGAAGAAGAGAGAAGAGGGGTTCTCAAGAGGAGCAAAGAAGATCTGAGTTTAGTGTGTCTTTCCAGCTTCCATCAAGGTATAAAGCTCGAATCTTTGCTTGTCATCATGTAGATCTCCATAAAAGCTTGCTAGTCTAGCTTTTGAGCCTTTTCTAGACTTTTCGGTCGATTTATGGGTAGTTAAGACGAATGGGTTTCAGATCTAAGCACTTCAGGACTCCTTAAGCCCAAGGTTGCCACCTTTATTGAGCTAAGCACCCATTCCAAACCTAGATCTCCCCTTTTAGCTCCTTATTGGGCATTTTAGCTTATCATGAGCATGCATGAACGTAAAGTTAGAAACTTTACGTGTGAAATCAGTCCTAGGACCCCAGATCTATGAATTGGATGCATTGGATTTGAGAAAAATCGACTGTATAGTTTGGCATGCTTGGGACTCGACGAGTTGTTCTTTACACTCGGCGAGTCGAGTCGCGAGTCCTCGGTTTTTCCCCGACTTGAGAGTTTAGGGTGAATCAGTGAGTAGAGTAAGGACTCAGTGAGTTAAGACTTGGATCTGGAAGCAGTCGGACTCGACGAGTTGTTCATACGACTCGGCGAGTCAAAGACTGGTTATGTTCTTCTGTTCAAGGGAACTCGACGAGTTGTTCATACAACTCGGCGAGTCGGATGAAGATTAGACAGGATGATAGGGACTCGGCGAGTTGGCGCCCCAACTCGGCGAGTCCGGTCAACTGAAAAGTTGACTTTGACCAGGAAAGTTGACTTTGACCAGGGGTAAAATAGTCATTTTACCCTGAGATTAGTTATCAGTATCTGATTTAGTGTTTATGGGATTTGTAGCCGGGGAGTTCCGGAGCAGCAGTCAGACAGTTCCAGATTTAGCACCTCAACAGCCAGCGTTACGAGGTGAGTTTCCTTCCAGTAGGGACGGGTCTACGACCACAATGCCGGCCCATTTAGTTAGCAGTAGTTCCGGACTTCGGTCCGATGCAGTAGTTCAGTGTGCTTGATGTCTTTGTGATTCAAGCATGTCTTTGTGTTATGTGTTCCGGACTTTGGTCTGATGCAGTATGCAGTATATGTGTTGTTGGGTAACATATGCATCAAATACACTCTATAACTAGGCAGCAGAATAATCGAAACAACAAAACGATTTACCTAAGTGTACATGCACCCTATGGATCTACGGCTTCATACTATTACTTCTACCCTAGGAAAACCGAAAATACAAGAAGAATACTAACCTCTTTAGCAGCCAATGATCTTCGAGCTTGACTCCTTGTGCGTGCCACCTTGTTTGGATGATGAGGATCCAAACCAGAATCCCTCTATTGGCTCACACCCAATGAACTCAAAGGAGTAGAAACAAATATAAACTAGTAGGGATGAACTCACGAAAAGTTCTTCCACAATGAGGGAGAAAGAAGGTGGCGAATACTCAAGCCAAAAATGAGCAAGGAGGAATGAATCCCTAAGCCCCTATTTATAGCCTTGGATACTTCCTAGGGTTTTATCCTTCCACCCATGTGGGATGGAATATGCTAGGAACGAAATTCCCTTTATCCAAAGGGAATTTTCGTCCAACCCCCTTCATTCTAGGGTTCTGGGATGTTCCCTGATCAATCAACTATTGGTTAATTCATATTCAACCCTTCTATTAATTAAACTGTTAATTAATTCCCAAATTGTTTTCCAATTAGTTTCTAATTAATTATTAAACCATAATAATTAATAAACTAATTACTCCTATTATATATTCTACTCAATCTTGAGTCTTGAGGGCAACCCAAGAGGACCCTGCTATTATTCGAAACATCACCAACTAGTTAATGATCTTGGACACACTCCCAACAGTCTCCCACTTGGACAAGTCATCAACTAGATATGCATGGTTCTATATTTCTCAAATAATCAACAGAGAGAATGCCATCCAATGCATCTGCCGAACTCTGATCTAATCAATATCAGCCCTCAGATAAGTGATCAACTATTCCTTCATCCTAGTGATATCTGTATGAATTCGAGACATGGATAATGGTCAACCCCAGAATTCAAAATTATGTTTCCCGATATAGATTTGTGACGACTACATCTGACTACTAAATCGAACACATCAATTCTAGTCAGTACCCGGCCAGGTTTTAAGATGTCAGCACCAAATCATCGAGGGGCCCATAGATATCGCTTCTCCTATTAAAGCAGAGGGGACGAATAAACTTCGACTACATAGTCCTTGTCCATTTCATCATGTCACACATGAATGTACCCGTTATAGCCACCAGTTACGAATAGCGTTGAAGTACACCAATGCATAACAGAATCCTAGAGCAAAGCCCCACATGTATCTCGGTTTGAAGAACAGAAGATATTATCATCTTAGAATTACTTGTGACTAAATCCATGAAGTAATCTCTAAGTGCGGGTTGTTCCAATGCTTAAATATCCATTAAGCACTCACGAGTGTTGACACAATCACTATGTTATGCCAATCAAAATGGTCAATCCACCAACACTCATGACAGTCTTGAATCACTACTTACTTCCAAGAGTATGACTGACTGTGGAGGTTTGAGTACTTAGTACTCGGGAAGTGGTTCTAAACATGCAAAAGTGAAACATAGTAATAAATAAACAGAAATGATAGCAATCCAGCATTTTATTAAGTCTCCACAAAACAAACATCACTTCTATTACAAATTCATACTGCTCAATGTTTCAAGGATTATCAAACTAAACAACTAAACAACTATTCCATATCTTCAGCAAATCTAATGCCTATAGATCTTGTATGACTATCATGTTTGATCCTTGATAGTGGTTTAGTGAACGGATCGGCTGGATTCTCCTCTGACGATACTCTGCTCACAAAAATATCTCCATCCTCGACTCGATGTCTTACATAGTGGAACTTTCTAAGTATATGTCTTGAGTTACCATGGTCTTTGGGTTCTTTAGTCAATGCGACTGCACCCTCATTGTCACAGAAGATCTCCAAGGGATCCTTGATGCTCGGAACGAAACCAAGATCATCAATG